ATATACTATCTACAACAGCAATGAAACTACATGTACAGTGTATTGTAGGAATTAGCAAACTTTTCTGTAAAGGGCCAGACAGAAAATATTTTCCACTTTGAGAACCATGTGCTCTGTATTGCAGCTACTCAAATCTGTTCTTATAGTACAGTAGCAGATGTAGATAATATGTAAATGAATGAATGTAGATGTGTTCCAATAATGCTTTATTTACAAAAACAGGCAGCAGGCAGACATGTATGAGTATAGTTTGCTGACTGCTGGTCTACACTAATTAGTCTAAAAGCAATGCCCAAGAAATTTATCAAGAAAAAAACTTTAAACTCTATTCAGGGACATAAGAAGATCTGCCATACTTAGGATAACCCAAACAGTGCAAAACTTTATTTATTTACTTAATATTCAGAGGACCTACCAGAAGCCCAGGCACTTTTGGAGGTGCTGGGGATATAGCAGAGAACAAAACAAAGCATCTGCCATCACTAATATTACATTCTAGTAGAGAAGCAATGAATAAAGTCAGATGGTAATAAATGCTATGAAAAAACGTAAATAAGATACAGGAATAGAAAGTAGAGAGTGATGGAGACTTAGTGTGCTACTTAATTTTGGATGGCCAAGGAAGGCTTCCCTGAAATTTAGCAGAGAGCTAAAAGAGGTAAAGGAAACCGGCCACGCTGAATTCTGGGGAGGGAGTGTTCCATGCAAAGATGTTAGTTCTCTCCCAAATTAATCTATACATATTCAATGAAATTCCAGTAGCAATGTTGAAAAACTATTTAAAACTCACTCTAAAATGAATATAGAAGGATAAAGGTCTATGAAAGCTAAATCTATTTTTAAAAAGTAGTGTAGTACCTGCCCTACTGGTAGAACTGGCTCCACCACAAAGCCACAGTAATAAAAACATTGTGCTGCTGGCACTGAAACAAAGAAAAAGACCAATGAAATAGAATGCAGAGCTTAAAAATAAAGTGTATACATGGAAACCTAATGTGTTTGACATGCTAGATTGCAAAGATTGTTTTTCAGATGGTGATAGAATAAGTATTTCACTGTAGGGAGAAGAAAGCTGGATTTTTACTTAAAACCATATAGAAGATGGAATCCAGATGGATTAAAGACTTAAATGTTGAAGTTAAAACTATAAATCTAATGTAAGAAAATACAGGAAAAAAATCGATGTTACCTAGGGTAAATAAAGACTTCCTAAAAAAGACTCCAAACCATAAGATCAAAATTTAGGACATCTACTTATTTAATGACATTGCAGATAAAGTTAATAGGAAGGTGATGGACTGAAAGAAGACATTTGCAATGTTTAAAACAAAGGATTAATGTCTAGACTATACAAAGATCCTGCAAATAAATAAGACAGGAAATCAAACAGAAAAAATGGGCAAAGAATATAGTTACCTGAGTGTCACATACTAAAGAAGTCTATATACCATCACATACAAGCAACTGAAAAAAATCTCAAATTTAATTATAATCAGAGACATGCAAATCAAAACAACCAAGAGCTGCCACTTTACATCCATTTAACTGGCAAAATTAGGAAGATGGATAACACTAAGGACTAGTGAGGATATGGATATGAGTTCTTTCTCACTGGCAATAGGAAAGTAAACAGTACAGCCATTCTGAAAAGTAATCTGGCAATATCCAGCAAACTTGAGCATGACCATAGCTATATGGACAAGGGGAATTTTCACACTAATCTACAAATTTGCTTATTTTAACATTTTTCATGGTAGTGAAGAGTTGAAGGCAATCTAGGTTTCTATCATCAAGCGACTGAATGAAGTAAACATGGTAGATACACAGAGCTTATATGCCTGGATTCTGAAGACAGACTGCCTGATTTGAAATTCAGGGTCCATCACTTACTAGCTCTTACTTTGGACAATAGGAAACAATTTTTGAGTAATCTCTCTGTGCCTCATTCTCTTTTATTTTTTTGTTTTGTTTTCTTTTTTGAGCCAGAGTCTCACTCTGTTGCCCCAGCTAGAGTGCCATGGAGTCAGCCTAGCTCACAGCAACCTCAAAATCCTGGGGTCAAGCAATCCTCCTGCCTCAGCCTCCCAAGTAGCAGGGGCTACAGGCATGCGCCACCATGCCAGACTAATTTTTTCTATTTTTGGTAGAGACAGGGTCTCACACTCTTGCTCAGGCTGGTCTCAAACTCCCGAGCTCAAACGATCTGCCCACCTCAGCTTCCTAGAGTGCTAGGATTACAGGCGTGAGCCACTGTGCCCGGCCTCTGTGCCTTATTCTCATCTATAAAATGAGAATAATAACAACCCTAATAGTGTTGTTGTGAGAAGTACATGAATTCAAACATCTAAAGCACCTTTCACAGAGTTAAGCACTATTTAAACATTAATATTACTACTGTTAATATGAAAGCATATGCAAGTTGGGAGTTATGAATTAGGTTTCCAAATAGCAACAAGAACATATCACAAAGACACTGTTAATTTTTTAAACTAAGAAAAGGAACAATATCATTTATTGTGCTATAAACTTGGGCCAGGCCTAGAACAAATGGGCTGGCTTGCAGGCCCTTAAAGAGGAACAGGATCTGATGGTCGAGGAAAGTCTAGGTTCTACATTGTCACATAAACCACGAAAGCGGTGGATGAGGCCTTCCAAACTGTGATCTTAAACACTTCCTGAAGAGGGAAAAAGCACTACTGAGTCCCATCTTTCATTCTGGGTCATGGAATTAGCAAAAGATTGAAAAAACTTAAATGAAAAACCAAAACAGTTTAGTGTAATTTAATGAATTGAACATATTCACATAACTCTACTTACAAGACAAGCATACATCGAACATATCAGAGTGGGTGTCTAGAGCATAGAGGGAATGAGAGTAGAATTTATAAATAAAGAGGAAGACTACAAAACAAGACAGGGGCTTTGCCTGAAGCATTACACTAATATGCTGTGAAAGAGGAATAAGATTTACTCACTTCTGCAATCTGCAATTTGGGAAAGTGGGGGTGGGGCAGGGGAAATTGTTTTGCAAACATGTAGGGGAAAGCCAAGAAAAAGATCCCAGTGCTTGTGAAACCACAAGCTAACTGACTTAGGAGTCACTCAGTCTTGGAATTTACCACTAGGTACGATAATACTATCCTTATCGTTTAAGGCAGTTTTGGATAGGTTATCTGTTACTTGCAGCCCAAAGCATCCTAACAGAGGGATGTTTAGTTCATGTACTCTTTCAAGTGACTTAGATTCAAAGATAATTCTGAGTTGTCCAGTGCCATTCAGCTGAGATAACTAAGTGAAGTTTCCAGAGGAAAAGAAAAACTTTGAGTAACCTACAATTTTAGCAAACCACACACTCTCTAGGATTTTAAAAACTCTATTACAAGTATTAAAATAATCAACTAAGATCTGTTGATTATCCCACTGTTATTTATGGGATAAACTAGTTTAGTGGGATAAACTGTTATTTATCCCACTAAGAACTGTTAAGAAAATCCATTAAGTCAAATGTTAAGTGGGAAAAGTTATAAAGAAGCTCTTTACAAATTAATAAGGAAAAGACAAACAACAATCAGTACAAAAAAAGGAATTCACATAAGATGTCTAATAAATATTTTATTTTTCCCAACCACTAGACCACCAGGGACCAATAAGCATTTAAAAATTTAAACCTTGTTAATTAATACTTTTTAAAAAAATTAAAGCTAGTTACCATTTATCATTAAATGGGAAAAACAAATTTTCATGGTAAGACCCAGTGTTTCAATAGTGTTGGAAACTTCATTTACAGTTGGTAGGAGTGGAAACTGGGACATTGCTTGAAGGTATTTGGAAATTCACCGCAGAAGTCTTACAGTAGCGTAGACCCTTTACAGTTCCCTAGAATTTATCCTCAAGAATAATCACATATCTCAACAAAGACTTAATTAAAACCACTAGTGTTATAGGAATATTGATAAAAGCAAAAAATTGGAATCAAACTAAAAATCCAAAAGTAGATTGCAGTGAGCTATGATGAGATGACTGCACTCTATCCCGGGCAACAAAGCAAGACCCTGTCTCCCTGCCACTCCCCCCAAAAAATCCAAAAGTAGAAGAATCAATTAATTTATGGAAAATCCATATGATAAAATACAAATAGTAATTAAAACTGTCAACATTTAAATACCAGCTCTGCCAAATAGTAGCTGTATAGCCTAGGGAAAGTTAATCTCTCTGCATCTCAGTTTCCTGTTTGTTTTTTTGAGACGGTCTCCCTCTGTCACCCCAGCTAGAGTGCCATCATGTCAGCTTAGCTCACAGCAACCTCAAACTCCTGGGCTCAAGCGATCCTCCTGTCTCAGCCTCCTGAATAGCTGGGACTACAGGCATGTGACATTATGTCCAGCTAATATTATCTATTTTTAGTAGAGATGGGATTTCTCTCTTGCTCAGGCTGGTCTTGAACTCCTGACCTCAAGTGATCCTCCCACCTCAGCCTCCCAGAGTGCTGGAATTACAGGCATGAAACACCGTGCCTGGCCTTCATTTTCCTGTTTTAAAATACCTAAAGCATTTAGGATAGCACTCACACATAAGAACTCAATAAATTGAGTTATTATTTCTTTTTTTACAAAAGGACACCCTAGACTAATGTCCTGGAAAGATGTTAATAATAAATTACTGAAAAAAGATTATAAACCAGTATTTATGGGATATTTTTATAAAATATCTTATATATATAAATTTACAAAAACAACAACAACAACAAAAAAACCAGAAGGATATATACCAAAGTAGAACTAGCATATCTCTTTGGATAATAGGATGTTATTTTTATTATTTTGTCTGTACTGTATTTTAAAATTTTTCAACAACAAATGTGCTACTTTTATGAAAGGTAAAAACTATCATACTATGAAAATTAAAACTAGGAACTGTTAATTGTTTTTTGCTGCAACTAGTAATGAATCCATCCCAAATTAAGAGGATAAGGGAGTAAAAATCAGAATTACAGAATTATATAGACATTTCTTTTCATATCCTTTATTTCTGTACAACACAAGTTCATAGTCTCTACATTATCAATCTTATACACACATGGTGAAACAGATTTTTCTTTCTAAAAGCTAATTTATTCCAGTTTTTCCTCGCTATTCAGAAGGATTAGATGGATTTTCCATGTTATACTGAGCCTTTAATTTATTACAGAAAGGCTGTCATGAAAGTGAAATCACCACCTGAGGAAAACAGTGCAAAGAACCAACTAAATCCTCACTGTCCTTCTTCCTGAAGGAAGACTACTTGGGTGGCAGTAGTGAAAATGGGGCATTTAAAACATCTTTTTTCTAATAGGTGAGGACAGGCCCCAAAGATGCACAGACCTTCTTAGTCACATAAGCCTTTTGGGGTCTATTTTCTCTAAGTGAACCAGAGGTTTCAGCTGCTCAGCAAAGTTCCTCATGTCATCAGAGACCATGTCCTGCCCAGCCGGTGCAACAACACTTAATTCCACAAGATAGGAGAGTGACAAGGCCTCAGTACTATCTGTGTTCCCTGGCACTAGGATGCGGAAAATCTTGTACACCATAATCTTCATGATGCCCTTACGAAATAAGTGTCCCTTGGCGACAAACTCATGGTCCATGCGGAAGCCCATTTCCATCAAGAAATCGGTGAGGTTCTCAGATGTGGCAATGTCCACGCAGTTTCTCACTAGGGCATGGCGATTCTTATCTCCCATTTCTGGCTGTCCTAGGTAGCGTAGATGCCAGGGTGCCCCTGCCCTGTCCATAGAGCGCCGAGCCCTCAGAACAAATGGGCTGGCCTGCTGGCCCTTAAGGAGGAACACCATCTCATGGTCAAGGAAAGTCTCAGGTTCCATGTTGTCACACAAACCACGAAGGCGGTGGATAAGGCTTTCCAAACTGTGATCTAAAACACTTCCTGAAGAGGGAAAAAGCACTATTGAGTCTCACCTTTCATTCTGGGTCATGGAATTAGAATTACCACATAATCCAATAATCCCATTTTTGGGTATATACTCAAAACAATTCAAAACAGCATCTCAAAGAGATATTTGCACACTCATGTTTACCTTAGCACTATTCACAACAGCCAGGAGTCGGAGGCAACCCAAATTTCCATCAACAGATGAATGAATTAAAATGTGGTATAGACATACAATGCAATACTATACATCCTTTTAAAAGGAGATTTTATCATATACTATAACATTGGTGAACCTTGATGACATTATGCTAAGTGAAATAAACCAGTTACACTGTATTATTCCACTCATATGAGGTCTCTAAAGTAGTCAAAATCAGAAACAGAAAGTAGAAAGGTGGTTGCTAAGGGTTGGGAGTAGAGGGGAGGGAGAATTAATATTTAATAGGTACAGACTCAATTTTACAAGATGAAAAAGTTCTAGAGATTTTGTACAATAATGTGAATATATTTAACACTACTTAACTGTACACTTAAAATGTTCAAGATGACAAATTTAATGCACATGAAACCATAATTTATTTATTATTATTATTATTTTTTGAGACAGAGTCTCGCTTTGTTGCCCAGGCTAGAGTAAGTGCCATGGCATCAGCCTAGCTCACAGCAACCTCAAACTCCTGGGCTCAAGCGATCCTCCTGCCTCAGCCTCCCGAGTAGCTGGAACTACAGGCATATGCCACCATACCCAGCTGATTTTTTCTATATATATTAGTTGGCCAATTAATTTCTTTCTATTTATAGTAGAGACGGGGTCTCACTCTTGCTCAGGCTGGTTTTGAACTCCTGACCTCGAGCAATCCACCCGCCTTGGCCTCTCAGAGTGCTAGGATTACAGGCGTGAGCCACCGCGCCCGGCCTGAAGCCATAATTTAAAGTAACAATTAAAAAAATAGTTGTTATATACTGGGTGCCAGAAACCAAGCAGGTTGCCTTTGTATAATAGTCCATCATCTCCAAAGAAAAAGAACAGAAAAGAGGAAAATAGGTAATCCAAGCTCCCGGATTCACTTACCCTGCAACAAGTACTCCATCATGTTAATGGTGCCCCCAGTGACGGGCATCATGGTGACTGGAGGTGCCTCCATGGTGTCTATCTGATTAAATGGAAGACAACAGAACTGGACTGAGAGCCCCCAGTCAGATAAGGCACAAGATACACCTAGAAAAGAGTTATACTTGTTTATACATCAGAATGGTGGAGTGACACCAGATCTGCCATGGCATTGGCCTTGACATCAAAATTCATTCATTCATTCAAGTGAGTATCAGCTTTTAGGGCCAGTTCCAGGAACTGAAATATAAATAAAAGATAAACATAAATTACAGAAATATTCAAATATTCTGATCATGGAGCTACAGCATATCCTTCTAGTCTTTAGTTTCTAGTCTCAAGTTCTGAAACCTCCAAAAGTGATTTGTGCAGTCTTGAGAAAGTCATGTATCTTCTCACCCTGGAATTCAATATCTTCCGTATAAAACGGGGCCAACGATATTTAACCCCCGAGGTTATGTGGCTCAAAGGACATAATGGACATGCAATAACATTCAGAATTCAGTAAAAGTGATTTAAGGAACCTTGTCTTCCCTTCATTTTATAGATGATGATATTGACAGATAGAGGCACAAGGACGCACACGGCAAGTCAGTGACAGAACCTGGACCAAACTAGACGTTGTGCCTCTCGGAAAATGCCTTTTAAAGCAAGTTATGTGGAAGCGTGAAATTCTTTCAGGTCCTCCTAAGCCGGCATCCAGGACACGTGACCACTTACACTAGAAACACACCTTCCTGCGCGCTCTAGCTTCTTCTCGCAAAGCCAGGAATTATATCCACCTGCGCAACTCAGAGCCTTCAAGCGACAATTACCCCCAACCTTCAGGTTAACCCAGGTCGCCAAACCCCCTGACGGTTGCAACCACCCAATTTCCTCTTCTTCCCACTTCCGGCAGGAAGCCGACGTCTAGCAAAGTAAGGATGCCGAGAGGGCGAGCTATCTCATTTTGCTGCCTAGCACGCAGAGGCGCATGCGCAAAATTCGGTGCCGCCGAATGAGAGGTGTTGTCCTCTGGGAGCTGCCAGCGAGCGTTGGTGTCATAGTCTGTTGTCTAGGACAATATTTTCTTCAAGTTCGACGACCTGGAGATGTTTTTGTGTAGGAAATGTCTTGGAACTGGTAGGACTGAAGAAAGAGATGTTTAAACTTTGACCTCAGAGCAGCGCTGTCGGGGGTTGGGGGGTGAGCCTGAGGAACGGAACTGCAGAGAAAAGAGCAGAGAGTGTTATAAAACAAAGACTTCTTTTTGTCAGGTACCTGAGTGTGGAAAGGGAAGACGCCCTGGACTGCTTAACATAATGTGCTGGACAATTAAGGATCTCAGCACTACACTTACTATTTTTTCACTTTACTGTGTATATTATAGCTCAACTTAAAAATAAAGTGATTGTAACTTCAACGAATATTTACTGAATGCTGCTGATGTGTCAAGCGTACAAGGTGCAGACAGCAGGGACTAGGGTCAAGTGAATGAGGCACTCACCTGGAGTGCAAAATTAAGGGGACACCAAAAAACTCAGTAATTAAATAATCTATTTTTCATTATGGCAAGTGAGTTACACATTCTTTTTTTTTTTTTCGGCATATTTATGGGGGTACAAATTTTAAGGTTTCATTACCCCCCTCCCCCCACAAGTCTGAGTCTCCAGAGTTACACATTCTTTAGCGGACTTCGACTTCCATGGTCACCATCCTGCTGATACTTTAATACAATATTTTACAAAGTTAATGCAAAAGGCCAGGCACGGTGGCTCATGCCTGTAATCCGAGCACTCTGGGAGGCCGAGGCGGGCGGATTGCTCGAGGTCAGGAGTTCGAAACCAGCCTGAGCAAGAACGACCCTGTCTCTACTATAAATAGAAAGAAATTAACTGGCCAACTAAAATATATATAGAAAAAATTAGCCGAGCATGGTGGCGCATGCCTGTAGTCCCAGCTACTCGGGAGGCTGAGGCAGAAGGATTGCTTGAGCCCAGGAGTTTGAGGTTGCTGTGAGCTAGGCTGATGCCACGGAGCACTCACTCTAGCCTGGGCAACAAAGCGAGACTCTGTCTCAAAAATAAATAAATAAATAAATAAACAAGTTGAATTGAACCAGAATTAAACTAAGGAGACAGTAGCATGTGATTTGATGCAATAAGGTAATAAGATAAAAACAATTCAGCTGTTTTGGAAACAAGTGAACACTTGATCCATCTTGGGGCACCAGGGAAGACTTCCTGGAAGAGGTAGTTAATGTCCAAAGTCGCTTGAAGGATCAATACATGTTAAGTAGAATACATGTTAAGTAGATAGAGAAGAGAGGAAAGGGAATTATAGGTAATGGGAACAGCATGTACAAAAGGACATTGAGTTAAATAGAATTAGGATATAGAATCTGAGTTTAGAAAGAGTAAGAAATAAGTCTAGAAAAGGAGTAAGGTCCAGATTCTGGAGGCCTTTGAATGCCAGAATAAAGAGTAGATGTGAGTTTTTAAAAGATAACTAACCCTGGCTGTGATGTGGGAAAAGCTTGGCAAAAGAGAGCCTAGAGAAAAAAGACCAGTTAGGAACTTTGGCACAACTCTGAGGGATGACTGTCAGAGGAAGATTTTAAAAATATAAAAGAGATAGAATGATTTAATGACTAACCAGAGGCAGAGAGAGAGAGAGAGAGAGAGAGAGAAAGGAATCACAAATGTCTAGGTTTCTATCTTTGGTGGCCACAGTAGTATGTTTTTGCTGAACTAGAAAACACAGAACAGTGTGGGTGAGGCAGGAAAGATGAGTTCATATGTAGACACATTGAATGTCAGTTGTCTGTGCGTCACCCAAATGGCAAAATTCAGGGAGAGAAATGGGCTGGAGATGGAGACTTCAAAGGCATAGCCTTATAGATGGTAGCTGAATGAATAACATTGTCCTGAAAGAGTGTGTTGAGTAGGAAGAGAAGATAGACAAAGACTGGGCCTTGCATAGAACTCCGATAGTTATTAGAGCTGCATATACCCCAGGGCTTAGGATGTGCCTCCTGAATGACCTGGTGATTCATAAGATTGAGCAGAGTAACAAGCCCTCAGTGCTGTAATGATTGTAGGAGGTTATAAAATTGGTTGGCCTGTCTTTTCCTACAGAGGCACTAATTTCACCATAGATTCTGAGAGTATGTATCTGAAAAATAAAAGAATAAAAAAATAAATAATTTCACCATAGAAAATCTAGCGAATTACAGGTCCTTTTAGGCATTAGAGTATATATCCAAATTTTAGCTGGCATATTGAAAAAAGATATACAGAAAATGGGTTACAATATGGTAACACCTGGTTGAGGCCTAGGAGTTATAGGGATGGGTTTCTCTGAAAAGGATGTGAGGCCTAGAGCTTAGAATGGGGCTCACACTTGTGCTCTGCCACTACCCAGCTGTGCACTCTTGGGCAATTCACTTCCCCTCTCTGAGCCTCAGCTTCCCTTTTTATAAAGTAGAGGTAATAGTAGTACTTTCTAAGGAGTTTACAAAAATAAAATGAGATAGTTATAAAGCACTTGGCATAGTGATTGGCTTATTGTAAGCACTCAGTAAACGATAGCTATTATTATTATATTTTATATCTCTCATTTGAGCAGTAATAGTTTATCTTTTCTTTTTTTGCTTTTGCTTTTATCCCACAAGTGCTGCTAAAACATTTTATCTTATTGAATGTATTTTGTGCATGGCTCATCTCCCTGGGTAAATGTTCAGAAATTATGTTGAACACATCACAATAACTACTAGTTATGGAACAGCTGCTACACACCAGCCATTTTACACTATATGTGTGTAAATATGCCAAATACTACCAAAAGGTACATCTTATCATCTCCACTTTTCAGGGGAGGAAAAGAGGTTTAGAAAGGTAAAGTGACTTGCCCAAGGTCACATAGCCCATAACCGGCAGAACTCAGATTCAAATTCAGTTCTCTCTGACACCAATCCTATCTCTTTACCAGGCTTCCTTCTGAATTCATGTGCTCTTTCCCCATAGTGAATTTCTCCACTTATTACAACTAATGGCAGCAAAGGAGGAGAAAAGTTCATACATCTAATGTTCCCCAGCCGATCACTAGACAGGGCTCTAAGGAGTAAAACCTGTTTTTGACCAATCTTCATCAGCACAGCAGACTATCAACATTGCAATGCACACATATCCATACACACTTCCTTCATCAGCTTTCTAGAATGGCCTAATGAGAATTAAGATAGATCTACCCTCCCCATTATACTCAATGTTAGGCTGTCAACCTTAGTGTTACAAACCAATGTTTCCCCAGGAACGAGCTGACATTTATTGGCTGCTTCCTATATGCAGAGCCCTGTGGAAGAGGTATGACTTGCTTTTCAATCTAATTATCTCCAGCACCCTCATCGGTTCATGTCATTCTGCCAAAGTCCTTATGATGCCTATATGATCTGCCCCCATCCCCTGCTACCTCTCTGATCCTGTATTGTCAACTATCCCTGTCTGTGCCTGTCCCCCGCCCCATCCACTTTGTTCCAGCTACACTGTTCTCATGGCTCTAACTTGAATGTGTCAAGGATGCTCCTATCTTAAGTCTTTTGCAATTGTTGTACAGTCTGCCTAGAACTCTCCTTCCCCACTGAACTGCAGGATTCACTCTCTTGTTTTCTTCTGGACTCTGCTCAAATCTCCTTTGATTAGACAGGTTTTGTCTGACCACCTATTTACAATTGCAATCCACTATCTGCCCTGCCCTCCCATGCCCTGATGTATTTTTCTTTTCTTTTCTTTTCTTTTTTTTTAGACAGGGATATTGCAGTGAATAAAATAAAGCCCCTGCCTTCATGGAGCTTATAATTTTAAAGGGTAGGAGAAAGATAAACAAATAAATTGGTAAATTGGTAGTGTGTCACCTGGTCAAATGTGCTAGAAGAAGAAAAATACAAGCTGGGCGAGATGGTTCATGTTTATAATCCTAGCACTTTAGGAAACTGAGGCAGGAGGCTTCAGTCAGGAGTTTGAGGCCAGCCTGAGTAAGAACAAGACTCCCATCTTTATAAAAAATAAAAAAATTAGCTGAGGCCGGGCGTGGTGGCTCACACCTGTAATCCTAGCTCTTTGGGAGGCCGAGGTGGGTGGATCGTTTGAGCTCAGGAATTCGAAACCAACCTGAGCAAGAGTGAGACCCCATCTCTACTATAAATAGAAAGAAATTAATTGGCCAACTAATATATAGAGAAAAAATTAGCTGGGCATGGTGGCGCATGCCTGTAGTCCCAGCTACTCGAGAGGCTGAGGCAGAAGGATTGCTTGAGCTCAGGAGTCTGAGGTTGCTGTGAGCTAGGCTGATGCCACGGCACTCACTCTAGCCTGGACAACAAAGCAAGACTCTGTCTCAAAAAAAAAAAAAAATTAGCCAAGTGTGGTGGTGCACGCCTGTAGTCCCAGCTACTCAGGAGGCTGAGGCAGGAGGATTGATTGAACCCAGAGGTTGGAGGTTGCAGTGAGCTATGATGATGTCGCTGCACTCTAGCCCAGGCAACAGAGAGAGACCCTGTCCCAAAACAAACAAAAAAGTACATATGTGACTCACCTATTTCTAGTGGACAGTACTGCTTAGGACCCAGATTTGAAGGTGTGGCTTTATAGCCAGACGGATCTAGAATTCTGGCTACTGCTTGTGTGGCCCTAGGCAGGTTATTTAACTTCTTAGGCCCAGTGCCTGGCACATACTGTATATTGTAGGTATGCAATGAATCAGAGTTATTATTAGGAGAGTGGTTTAGGAGCTACGGAATGTTTAACTTGGAAAAGACTTTGGAAGAGTAGAACATAACATCTGTCTTCCAGTACATAAATATATGACAAAGCCAGAGGGGTTGAGGAGAGAGAAAGAGGAGGGACATATCTTACATTTATTGAGCATCAGGTGCCAGATACTTTATACATATTTATCTCATTTAAATCTCATGACCATGGGTACATTACACCACTTTACAAATGAGGAAACAGGCTCTGAGAAGTTAAGTACCTTGCTAGTAAGTGTCAGAGTCAGGATTAAAACTCAAATCTGTCTGCTTCTAGAGACTTATTGTCCTAAGACTTTGTGCTGCCTTGGTCGGTTCAGGGTATAACAAATTAGCACAGTCGTAAACATGAAGCAGTTTCTTGAAGTTCTGGAGGCTGGGAAGTTCAAGATCAAGGTGCACATAGATCTGGCGTCTGGCCTGCTTCCTGGACTGCAGGCTGTCTTCTCATGTCCTCATATGGCCGAGAGAAAAATTGTTTATCTTGTGTTTTTTCGTATAAGGCCACTAATTCCATTTATAAGGACTCCACCATCATGATCTAATTACAGTACAAAGGCTAACCATCACATTGGAGGTTAGGGTTCAACATATGAATTTTAGGGAGACTCAAATATTCAATCTGTAACAGCCTTCTAAGAAAAAGTTGACTGATTTTGTGTAGTTCCAGAGGACAGGACTAGAACTGGTCAGTGGAAATTATAGGGAAATACATTTCACCTTCATGGAAGGAACAACTGGATCTGGGCAAGGTGGCTCATGCCTGTTATCCCAGCATTTTGGGAGGCCAAGGCAGGAGGATTGCTTGAGCCCAGGAGTTTGAAGTTGCAGTGAATTATGCACTCTTGCCTGGGTGACAGAGTGAGACTTTGTCTCAAAAAAAAAAAAAGAGAGAGAGAGAGAGAGAAAGAACTGATCACAGTATTGGTGTCTAGTAATGGAAGGGGTGCCTGGATAAAAAGTAAGGTCCATTCTAGTAGAAATATTGAAGGATTGAAGGAGAGACAATGGTAGAAAGAATTTTTTTTTTTTTTTTTTTTGAGACAGAGTCTCACTCTGTCGCCCCAACTAGAGTGCAGTGGCATCATCATAGCTCACTGCAACCTCCAATTCCTGGGCTCAAGTGATCCTTCTGCCTCGGCCTCCTGAGCAGCTAGGACTATAGGCCTAGACTATAGGCACGCCACTGTGCCTGGCTAATTTTTTCTAAGAATTTATGCCCAGAGTGGGAGCTTAAACTATTATATTCCCTTGATTCTTAGACACTCTAAGTCACAATATTTATATAATAAGAGTTTCAGGCAATAAAGAAATGCCTCTGTACACATGTATATAAGTATTATAAGTCAAAGCCTGATAAACATGAACATGCAATGCATCTAGAGTTGAGAAAATACAGTAGTTAAACTTTATGATATAATTCATAGAGACACCTAGCCTTAATAATTCTACACCTTTGGATTTTTTCCCAATTATGACATCATCATTATTAATAGTAACCACCAACCACAAACACCCAATGACAAATAAATGACATAGTTCTTGTTCTTAAGGAGTTTAGTTTGCTAAGGGACAGGTAAAACATCTCCGGTAATTTTGTGCCTAGTGTCCTTTGTTGGGTGCTGACTCAAGAGTTCACCTCCCCACCCCACCCCCTGCATGACAGACAGCATCAGCCATTTAATCCTATTAATCTCAAGGCGGGGGGCCTAAGAAAGTCGGTTGCAGAAGGGTAATTGGCCTATTTACTTGCTCCCTTCCCCTTATCCCAGCCAACCCAGCTCTGGCCTCTGGTTGACCAGGTGTTGAGGTGCCTCAAGGGGCTAGGCTGTAATAGTTAATGTATTACACACATCCATAAAAGATTAAAGATTAGCTCTGTTTTAGCTGAACTGTAACTGTCTGTTTGGGTTTCTCTTCTCCCAGGCTGTCTGGGGAAGTCAATGTTGTTTTTTGTCTAAAGATAATTAACCCATTGGGTCTCAAATTTTCTGGATGGTGGCCCTTTGACAGCTTCTCTTTAGTGAGTACTTACTGGGTACAAGGCTCTGGGGTAAGAGCTTTCTGTTAATCTGCATCACTCATTCGCTCCCCATACTGGCCCTTGGAAGCAGGTGGTGTTCTCCCCATCTCATCGCTGCCAGAATTGCAAGACTGCTTTGTGGTGTATTTTGAAGTAAAAGGATTTGTTTCCGGTCCCCTAAGATCTCATTGCCATTAACATGTTTGTTGGGTCCTAAGGTTATATACCATCATCTATACCATCAACTCAAATGTTTTCTGTGGGAGACTCTTTGTACAACCCAGAGGAGATAAGGAAGCCGAAGAAGACTTTGTAGAGAGGTAGGAGGGCATAGGTTAGCACATTAATTCTTAGGGTTTGAGATGGGCCCTGGAGTCAGGCTGCGTGGGTTAAAATACTCTCATTATCTAGCTATGTAATGCTGGGCAAATTACTTCGCCTCTCTGAACTTCATGTCCTCATCCTGCTAATGGGGTGAACATCAGTACTTCCCTCTGAGGTTGTCCTGAAGGTTGAGTGATACACCTGGCACATAGCAGGGCAGGTAGCAATTTTAACTATTCCCCATATTTTTGTGGGATTTGGACTCTGTTAGACATGGGTTTTTAAAAAATGAGTTAACATCTGTATTTAGCCAGATTCTGGCTACAGGGCCTTAGGCTAGTCACTTAATTTCTCTTAGTTTGTTTCTTAACCTGTAAAACAGGGTGATTATCCACTGGACAGAATTGCTGCAGAGAGTGTACATGGTATTCATGGAGTAGGTGTTCTCAAACACCACTTTCAAGAGATGTGGTTGACACGATATAAGCATTAAAAAGAGAACCAATGAAAAGAAAATTATAAAGAGAATGGTATATTCTCTACATGGACATAGCAAAGCTAATTGTGGCATACAATTCAGTCAACACTTATTGTATGCCTGCTGTAGGCTAGGCATTGGTCTGGGCTTTTGGAATGTAAGAATAAGCTATTTTAAAAATGTACTTATTTATTTATTTATATTCTTTTTGTTGTTGTTGTTTAGAGACAGGACCTCACTATGTTGCCCAGGGTGACAGAGTGAGACCCTGTCTCTAAAAAACTATTTTAAAAAAGAATAAGCTAGACGATCTAAATCCCTGTCCAGAGGTCACTTTCTAGTGCTAAAATATTATATACCATTAAAAATGGTTGGAAGAGAAATAATGTAGAAAATATTTATGATATAATATTAACTAAAAAAGATAGTGACAGCTCATGTCTGTAATCCTAGCACTCTGGGAAGCCAAGGCGGGAGGATCACTTGAGGTCAGGAGTTTAAGACCAGCCTGAGCAAGAGCAAGACCCTGTCTCTACTAAAAATAGAAAGAAATTAGCTGGACAACTAAAAATACATGGAAAAAATTACCTGGGCATGGTGGCACATACCTGTAGTCTCAGCTACTAGGAAGGCTGAGGCAGAAGGATTGCCTGAGTTTAGGAGTTTGAGACCAGCCTGAGGAAGAGTGAGACCCCGTCTCTACTAAAAATAGAAAAATTAGCTGGTTGTCATGGTCCAAGCCTGTGGTCCTAGCTACTTGAGAGTCTGAGGCAAGAGGACTGCTTGAGCCCAGGAGTTTGAAGATGCAGTAAGAGGATGCCACTGCATTCTCTCCATGGCGACAGAGCAAGACTCTGTCTGAAAAAATAAAATAACATAAAATAAATTTTTAAGAATATGTGACAAATGTACAATATGATTTCAACTAGATAGCGTCCACAAAACATCTGTACACAGAAGAAGAAAAACAAAACACTCAAAGCACTCTAATACTATAATAACAATAATTGTCTTTGGTTAATGGGACCAGAGATTATTTTTCTTCCTCTTGTCTTTGTGTTCCAAATTGTTGATGAGTGTGTATTACTTAAAAAGAAAAAGAAAAACTTAAACAAACAAACAAAATATCTATCAACAGGTGAATGAATAAACAAATTGTGATATATTTCTACAATGGAATACTACTCAGCAATAAAAAAGAACAAATGACTGATATACATAACAGGATAGATGAGTCTAAAAACATTCTAAGTCATAGAAGGCAGACACTATATATATATATAATTCATGATTCCATTTATGTGATGTTCTAGAACAAACAAAAGTAATCTACAGTGAGGGAAATCAAATCTCTGCTTCCCTAGGGTGGGGAATGGGGAATATTGACTACAAAGGGACACAAGGAATTTTTTGGGAAAATGAAAATGTTCTGTATCATGATTATGGTGGTCAGAACTCAAGCATATTTGTTTGTCAAAACTCATCAAGCTGCACCTTTAAATGGATGCATTTTAATTATATGCAAATATATCTCAATAAAATTGATTAAAATAATGAAAAACATATATAATTTTTTCTGGTTACAAGAACATTACATGCTTATTGTAAGAAATTCTAATATTTTAGAAGAAAAGTCTACTATTTATGAAAAAAATACTTTATCCATTTTGAGTAATTGGAAAGTCACAGCAATTCTAAGCACAGGGTTTGCTATACAATAACTGTTAGTAAATCAAAAAACAGAGTGAGAGAGAGAATTAATCCTATTAGGAAGCAGAGGCGAATGCATAGAGTGGTGTACCCAGAAATCCCAGGTTTTATTTGTTTATTTATTTTATTTATTTTTTGTAGAGACGGGGTCTCACAATGTTGCCCAGGCTGGTCTCCAACTCCCAGCTCGGTCTCAAGTGATCCTCCCACCTTAGCCCCTCAAAGTGGCAATAACCAGTGCACCCTGTCAAAAATCTCAGGTTCCTACAGAAATCTGGAAGTCCTGCTAGAGGATAAGGCTGTTAGGGATGGTGTGTGACTTCTGTGAGACCCTGACAGGTAGGAGGGAAGAATGGATGTTAGATAGGTAAGCTGATAAGGAATTGTGTTTTATTGGCTTTTCTGATGCTCTTGGAGTTCTCTCCTCCTATTTCCTTGGGTGAAAGAGTGAGAATGTATAAATGACAAGAATCATAATGGAAGAGAAAAGCTAAGAATAAATGAAGGAGGAAGTGGGCACAGGGTCCTTGGCAATGACCAAGCCACCAATACACTAATTCTCAACATTGTTGTCCTTCCTCCTTAGCCATAGCATTGTTGAATGATCACCTGCTTGTCTTTAGTGAATAGCATTATATGCAGCAATTAAGAACCCATAGACAGGCTCAAGTTGATATTATTTGCAGATGCAAAACAGTGGAAGTCTCAGGTCCCAGCTCCCATCATGGTGGGAAAAAGAGAGCCTGTAATCTGTGACGGCTCACATGTGCACAGCACGCTACAGCTCACCAGGTGCTTTCCCTGCATCATTTCAGTACATTCCCCTACCATCAGGGCTAGGAGAAGTAGCATGGCAAAGAGGCCGACTCACCTAGGCTGAGATGCCCACTCTGCCTCCTGTAAACCAGGTGACCTCAAGCAGTGACATCCTCTCCTATGGGCATTAGGAAGATAAAAAGGAAATGTAATGATGTGCCTAGCATAGCACTGGCTTGCTGGTATTATAGTCATCCCAATTTTACAGATGTGGACATGGCTCAATAGAGATCGTGAAAAAATTGTAAACAACAGCTGCAACTTGCTGGGAGATTCCCGAGGTGGAAGAACTCGTCATCACTGCTGTCTGTTCTTATCTCAGAGGAAGCCCAAGATGGGCTGTGCAGGAAACAGAGCCTATGTTCAAGGTGTGACTTAGGGAAAGACCTTCTGATATAAAATCATAGGACCATAGACTTAAAAGTGAAAGAGGCCTTGAGTCTCATTAGTCCAACTTCCTATCCCACACCCCACAGAACAAATGGGGAAACCAAGGCCCATGGAGTGGAAGGGACTTGCCTAAATGACTCTGCATGGGATGGCAAACGATAGCCAGACTTTTCTTTGGCCATTTCCTTCTGAACCCAAGCTCCTTAGTTGTACAGACTTGGAGTTGATTCCCGACCTGTACTAACCATCCCTGATCCTCAGTGAAATGAAATACCATCTACCTCATTGGTCTGCTGTAAAGATTAAATTATATAGTGATGTAGAGTACACAATCATTTAAATATGTGTATATTTTCTATTTTACAGATGAGGAACCGAGGCTTGTTGAAATAAGGACTGTAGTTCAGGTCAATAAGAGAGCCTAGAAGTCAAAGAAACCTCTAGGTGAGAACAGGATGGGCATAGTTGAGTCAAGCTCTCTTTGCACCTGTCACTGGGAGCCACCTTTCTGTCCAGGAGCTCAAGAGGACACCAGCCACCCAGTGACCTTTTCCGCCTCTGATGCCTCAACTCGCAAACAGGTTGTGAAACAACCTGGGCAGTGACTCAGCCCGCGCCTGCTCCGCTGGTCTGTGCAGGTAGGCCGGGCTGTTTGGTTGAGCCTTGAAAGGACATCGTGTCTGACAAACATGTTGCTTGTCAAAGCCCTGACGGGGGTGCCAAGCACAAATTGTGAACTCTGCTCCTTGAGGCGTCACAGATGACTAAACTGGGGTGCCTAAGTTGCATACATCTCCTCGTTGTTATTCTGGTCTAACAACCCTCCAGGGCCAATGTCAGGAAGAGAGGAATGTGTTAGAGGCCAGGGAGCTGCTATTTCTTGAGAGGCAGCTTGGCATGGTGGCCAGGGCCTGGGTTTGTGGCATCCACATCATTCAGACCTGAGTTCAGATTCTGCCTCTGCTGCTTACTATCTGTGTGACTCTGGGCAAGTGGCTTACCCCTGTAACTGTGAACTTCCGTATGCTATAAAACATCCACCTTGCAGAATTGTCTTTATGAGATAAAAGATGTAGATTTCCTAAAACATAGAAAACTCTTCATAAATCATTATTAGAATCCTGAGCCGAAGTTTGCCCTTCCCCCTACTCCAAGTGGAAATTGCCCCTCCTGCTATTGTAATGCCGTTTCCCATGCACCCCAAAGTAGTGAACAAGCAACCAGACAGCTGTGGCAGACACAGTGCCAGGCCACTTGTACCACTGTTATCCCATTGATCGCTGGATTCATTTCCTATTATAAGAAGAGAAATAGACATTTTTAATCAAAGTGTGTGGTTGGCTGGATAATGGCCCCCAAAGATATCTGAGTCCTAATCTCTGGAACCCATCAGTGTGTTACCTTATATATAATGTGATCACTTTGCAAATGGGATTAGGTTAAGGATAACAAGATGGGCGATTACCCTGGATTGTCTGGGTAGGCCCTAAATGTGATCACAAATAAGAAGGAGGTAGAGGAGGTTTGACTACAGAAGAGAAGGCAATGTAATGATGAAAGCAGAGATTGGTGTAATGGGACCTGAAGTCAAGGAATGACAGCAGCCACCAGCAGCTGGAAGAAGCAAGAAATGAACTCTTCCCTGGCGCCTTCAGACAGAACCAGCCCTGCTGCTACCTTTACTTCAGCCCCCTAAGACTCATTTCAGACTGCTGGCCTCCAGAAAGTAAGAGAATACATTTCTGTTGTTTTAAGTCACTAAATTTGTGGTAATTTGTCACAACAGCAATAGGTAACTAATTCAAGGAGTGTGGTTAGATTATTGATTATAAAAATTAGTACTTGTGGTATATCCACACATGGAGTATTATTCAACAATAAAAAGGAATGAAGTACTGATGCATGCTACCACTGAACCTTGTAAACATGCTGAGGGAAAGAAGGCAGTTGTAAAGCACCATAGATTGTATGATTCCATTTATATGGAATGTCCAAAATAGGCAAATCTATAAGAACAGAAAGTATATCAGTGGTTGACTAGGGCTGGAGGGATGGAAGGCTTAGGAGGTAATCAATAAGAAGTATGGGGTTTCTTTTGGGGTTAATGAAATGTTCTAAATTGTGTTCTAAATGTTCTAAAATTGTGATGATGTCACGCTTGTAATCCTAGCACTCTGGGAGGCTGAAAGCAGGAGGATCGTTTGAGGTTGCTGTGAGCTACACTGATACCATGGCACTCTAGCCCACTCTAGTTGACAGAACAATTCTGTCTCAAAAAAAAATTGTGATGGTGGTTGCACAACTCAATATTCTAAGAACCAATGAAATGTACACTTGTATGATATGTGAATTATATCTAGTAAAGCTGTTAAAAATGTTGAAAGCAGCCTTGGCAACATCTCTACAAAAAGAATTTTTTTTTTTTTTTTTTTTTTTTTTGAGACAGAGTCTCACTCTGTTGCCTGGGCTAGAGTGCTGTGGGGTCAGCCTAGCTCACAGCAACCTCAAACTCCTGGGCTCAAGCAATCCTCCTGCCTCAGCTTCCAGAGTAGCTGGGTCTATAGGCATGTGACACTATGTCCAGCTAATTTTTTCTATTTTTAGTAGAGACGGAGTCTCACTCTTGCTCAGGCTGGTCTCGAACTCCTGACCTCAAGCTATCCTCCCACCTTGGCCTCCCAGAGTGCTAGGGTTACAGGCATGAGACACCACAACAACCAAAAAGAAATTTAAGATTACTTGTGTCAGGTGGTACGCACCTGTAGTCCTAGCTACTTGGGAGGTTGAAGCAGGAGGATCACTTGGGCCCGGGAAATCAAGGTTACAGTGAGCTATGATCATGCCACTGCTCTCCAGCCTGGGTGACAGAGCGAGGTCCTGTCTCCTAAAAAAAAAGTCAGGCAAGTTTGAGCAGTAGTACCAGTACTGTGCTGCAATTTACATGCCTTTTCATTTAATTGTAGAATAATAATACTGTATAACCAACGTTATACAGCACTTGCTACATGCCAGGGGCTATTGTAAAACATTTAACATCTATAAACTCTTTAATCCCCATGGGAACCTGATAATGTAGATACCATTATTTAGCCCATTTTAAGATAAGGAAGCTGGAGGACTGAGAGGTTAAGTAACTTGCCCAAGGTCACACAGCTTGTAAGTGGTAGAACCAGGATTTCAACCCAATCCACTGGACTCCTGAGCCCAAGCTCTTAATCATTTTGTTTGCCTGTGACTACACTTGCTCCATGGGACTGGCCCCCCGGACTACCTGATTGGATCTGCACAACTTTCCATTTCTTATCTACAGTCCTTCACATGGCTCAGCTGCATTTCCTGTATCCCCATGAAGAGATTCCCCTTTGTACCTGAAAGCTGAGCAGGTCTCTGTTACTTACACCCAAAAGGACCCTGATTCAGAAAAGGGCAAATTCCACCTACACCAGGATAGCACAGGGGCATCCTGTGGGCTCAGTGAGCACCAAGCATGTTGCACTGATCCTGGCACCTGAAGACCCTCAAAGACCACACGCCAGAGAAAAGACAAAGTGCTTCCGCTTCTCCCAAGGCCAACAGCTCAGCAGCTGTATGTTGTATGTATTCCACTGTGTAAGACCCAAGCGAATATTTTTGGAATTAAAAATAAGTTGTATTGCAGGTTTTCATAAAATGTATTCTAGCTGTGCACGGTGGTGCATGCCTATAGTCCCAGGTACTCGGGAAGCTGTAGCAAGAGGATCGCTTGAGGCCAGGAGTTCGAGGCTGCAGTGAGCTATGATTGCACCACGGCACTCTAGCTCTTGGCGACAGAGTGAGAGCCTGCCTCTTAAAAATAAAATAATAAAAATAAGCAAACCTGGTACACCTACAAAATACTACTCAGCATGGAATCCTACTTAGCAATAAAAATGAATGGAATATGGATTATTGCAACCTGGATGAATTTCCAGAGACTGACACTGAGTGAAAAAAGATAACCTCAAAAGATTACACACTGTATGATTCATTTATATAAAATTCTTGAAATGACAAAATTATAAAAATGGAGAACAGATTACTAGTTGCCAGGGGTTACGGAGGTTAAGGAGGGGGTGGAGGCAGAAGTGGAGTGGGGGTGGCTATAGAGAGGTCAGTATGAGGAATGCTTGCAGTGATGGAAAAATCCTGTGTCTTGCCTGTATCAGTATGAATACCTTGCTTGTGATATCGTACTAAACTTTTGCAAGACATTATGATGGGGGAAACTAGGTAAAGAGTGCATAGAACCTCTTTTTATTATTTCTTACAACTACATATGCATCTATAATTATCTTAAAATAAACAGTTTAATTGAAAAAATCCTGGGCCCTGATTTTAAATCACTCTATGTGTCCTGGAGTAAGTTACTCTTCCTCTCTGTCCTTCAGTTTTCACTCATCTTATAGATTTGCTGTGAGAAGTAAATGATATTATGACATAAAATGCTAAGTGCAGTGTCTGGTACATTGTAAAGACTTAATAAAAATTAGTATGATAAGAGACAAATTTGAAAAGGCAGATAATCAAAATCAAGAAAATATTTTAAACGAAATAACCATAATTCCACCACTCTTAATGCCTGTATCAATTTCTATGCTTTTAGCTGCAAGTAAACACAAAAACAACCACAGTGAGGTACTACTTCAAATGCAGTAGGATGGCTATAATAATTTTTTTAAAAAAAACCCTGAAAACTAGGACAAAATGGCTATTCAAGAAGACAAAAAGAAAAAATAAAAAAGAATAAAAATAAATAAATAAAAACCCAGAAAATAACAAGTGCTGGTGAGAATATGGAGAAATTGGAACCCTTGTACATTGCTGGTAGGAATATCAAATGGTTCGGCTTCTGTGCAAAATGGTTTGGCAGTTACTCAAAAAGTTAAACATAGAATAACCATATAACCCTAAAATTCCATTCCTAGATATATGTCCAAAATAATTAAAAACAGATACTCAAACCAGTACTTTTACACACATGTTCACAGCAACACCATTCACAATAGCCAAGATGTCCATTAACGATGACTGGATAAACAAACTGTAGTATATATGTACAAAGGAATATTATTTAGCCCTAAAAAAGAATGAAATACCGATATATGCTATGATCTGGATGAACCTCAAAAAAATTATGCTAAGTGAAAGAAGCCAGACACAAAAGGTCATATATTGTATCATTCTATTTATATGAAGCATTCAGAATAGATAAATCCACAGAGATGAAATACAAATTGGTGGTTCCCATGGGCTGAGGAGAGGGGAGTATAGGAGAAACTATTTAATGGGTAAGAGGTTTTACTTTGGAGTAATGGAAATGTTTTGGAACTAGATAGAGGTGGCAGTTGCATAACATTGTGAATGTGCTAGAGGCCACCAATGAATTGCTTGCTTTAAAATGGTTAATTTTGGCCAGGCTAGATGGCTCATGCCTGTAATTCTAGCATTCTCGGAGGCCAAGGTGGGAGGACTGCTTGAGCTCAGGAGTTCAAGACTATCCTGAGCAAGAGTGAGACCCTGTCTCTATTTTAAAAAATAGAAAAATTAGCTAGGTGTGCTGGCACATGCCCGTAGTCTCAGCTACTCAGGAGGATCACTTGAGCCCAGCAGTTTGAGGTTACAGTGAGCTATGATGATGGCACTGCACTCTAGCCAGGGTGACAGACTGAGACTCTGTCTCCAAAAAATATATTTTTTAAATTAAATAAATAAATAAATGAAATGTTTAATTTTAGGCCAGACAAGGTGGCTCACACCTGTAATCCCACCGCATTGAGAAGCTGCAGTGGCAGGATTGCTTGAGGTCTGGAGTTTGAGACCCTGTCTCTACAAAAACTTTTTTTGAGGGGAGTGCAGAGCAGAAGGCACAAGGGGAAGACTGGGGGTATATAAAAATTTTTTTAAAAAAATTAGCCAGGAGGAATAAAGGTGGAAGGGGTAGAAAGTAACTAGGTTGGCCTGGGGTGCACAGACCAGGCTTTGACTTCTGCAGGTTTCTGAAAGAGATCAAGAGCTTCATCGAGAGAATTCAACTGGAAAACCAAGACGGGCAGACTCTCTTTTCTTCAAACAATAGGCAGGAGCCAGGCAGAGTCCAGGGATTCTTGGGACACCTCTTTTTTTCTTTGGAGGACACTAAGTTCTATTTGAAGACAAAGTTCACTATGGCAACAGGACTGAAGAAGCACGAAGGAATCGTTATCATAATTTGGTGACAGTTTTTCAAACGACAGTGTCTTAAGGAAAGGTGGATCAAGGAACTCCTGAACTTTTGGTTGCATTAAGTGAGAAATCAGCATGGCTCAAGCGAGTCTCCTGGCATGTGAAGGCCTAGCAGGTGTAAGTTTGGTTCCCACTGCAGCCAGCAAGAAGATGATGCTGAGCCAGATTGCCAGCAAGCAGGCCGAGAATGGAGAACGGGCAGGTAGCCCTGATGTGCTGAGGTGCTCAAGTCAGGGCCACCGAAAAGACAGTGATAAGTCCCGGAGCCGCAAAGATGATGACAGCTTGGCTGAGGCCTCTCATTCAAAAAAGACTGTTAAAAAGGTGGTGGTAGTGGAACAAAATGGTTCTTTTCAAGTAAAGATTCCCAAAAATTTTGTTTGTGAACACTGCTTTAGAGCCTTTAGGAGCAGTTACCACCTAAAGAGGCACATCCTTATTCACACCGGTGAGAAGCCGTTTGAGTGTGATATATGTGATGTGCGCTTCATCCAAAAGTACCACCTGGAACGGCACAAGCGTGTGCACAGTGGCAAAAAGCCTTACAAGTGTGAACGGTGTCATCAGTGTTTTTCTCGGACAGATCGATTACTCAGACACAAACGGATGTGCCAAGGGTGCCAGTCCAAGACTTCCGACGGGCAGTGTTCTCTATAGGCGCAAGGGGCCCTGGGTGGTGGGAGTGATCAGAAGAATGTGAAGAGCGCACCCCCTCTGGTCTGATGGTCCCACCACCACCACATCTGAACCTGTCCCGCTCCTGGAGGAGTGGACCCAGGAGACCAGAAGAGTGCATCAGGGGACAGTGGCCCCAGAGCCTCAGCTCTGTAAATAATCTGAGACTATGAGTATCTCGGGGAAGTTCCTACAGCATTCCTGGGTAGGGGAGCTAGTCCCTGGACCCTTGGCTGGGGTCATAGGTGGGAACTCAAGGTACAGGACCAAGACTGAAGCGTGGCTCCCACAACCTTGGACTCTAGCTGGCAGCTGAAATGGAAAAGACTGGGGAAGGGGAAAAAAAAAAATTAGCCAGGAATGGTGGCACACACCTGTATTCCTAGCTACTCAGGAGGCTGAGGCAGAAGGATCATGAACCCAGGAGTTGGAGGCTGCAGTGAGCTATGATCATGCCACTGTACTCCAGCCTGGGCAACAGAGCAAGACCTTGTCTCAAAAGAAAATTAAGTAGAAATAAAATAAAATGGTTAATTTATATTATATGAATTTTACCTCAATAAATTATTAAAAACAAAATATCTCAGAATTGTTTAAGAAAAATTTCTCCCTCATATTAAGAAGTCCTGAGATAGAGAAGCTCTAGAATTGGTAATTCCAGTAGCTCTAAGATTTTATCAAGGACCCAAATTCTCTCTCTCTTTGTTTTTCTGTTCTTATCATGTTGGCATTTTCCTTGCTTTTATCGTTAAAAGATGATTGTTATAGGCCGGGCGCGGTGGCTCATGCCTGTAATCCTAGCACTCTGGGAGGCCGAGGCAGGCAGATTGCTCGAAGTCAGGAGTTTGAAACCAGACTGAGCAAGAGTAAGACCCTATCTCTACTATAAATAGAAAGAAATTAATTGGCCAACTAATATATATAGAAAAAATTAGCCGGGCATGGTGGCACATGCCTGTAGTCCCAGCTACTCGGGAGGCTGAGGCAGCAGGATTGCTTGAGCCCAGGAGTTTGGGGTTGCTGTGAGCTAGGCTGACTGCCATGGTACTCACTCTAGCCTGGGCAACAAAGCGAGACTCTGTCTCAAAAAAAAAAAAAAAAAAAAAGATGATGTCATAGTTCCAAGCATTGCCTGTGAACATAACATCTAGCACCATTAGATTGTAATGAAACAAAGAAGGGCTGCCTATTCCTGAAAATTTCTCTCTCTCTTTGTAAATAATAGCTTTGTTGAGATATAATTCACATACCATACATTAATAATGCACTCAATAAAAATATACAAGTAAATGGTTTGTAGTATATTCACAGAGTTGTGCAACAATCACCACAATCAATTTCAAAACACTTTTATCAACCCAAAAAGAAATCTGGCACCTGTTGTCACTCAATGTTCCCCCAACTCTCTTCCATTCTACTCTAGGTAACAACTAATCTCCTTTCTGTCTCTACAGATTTGCCTATTCTGGTCATTTCATATAAATGAAATTATATAACATGTGATCTTTTGTGATTGACTTCTTTCACGTAGCATAATGTTTTCAGAGTTCATTTATGTTGTAAAATGTTCAGTCAGTTGTGGTGGCAAGAGTCTGTAGTCCCAGCTACTTGGGAGACTGAGTGGGAGTGTTGCCTGAGTCCAGGAGTTTGAGTTATGATCACACTACTGCACTCCAGCCTGGACAACACAGCCAGACCCCTGTCTCTTTAAAAAAAAAAAGTATTAGTAGTTCAGTAGTTCATTCCTTTATATTGCTGAACAATCTTCTATTATATAGATGTGCTACATTTTTTTTTTCCATTAATAGTTGATAGACATTTGGGTTATTTCCACTGATTGGCTATTATGCATAATGCTAATGTGAACATTTGTGTATAAGTTTTTGTGTAGATAGATGTTTTCATTTCTCTTGGGTGTATAATTAAGAGTAGAATTGCTGGGTCATATGGTAACTCTATGTTTTACCATTTGAGGAACTGCCAGACTGCTTTTCAAAGTGGCTGCATCATTTTACATTCCCACCAGCAATATATGAGGTTTCCGATTTCTTCACATCCACCTCTGTCTTTATTTTTTTTTTAAACCAAGAAGAATCCTTTCCCAGAAGCTTCCCAGCAGACTCCCCTTCCTGTCCTATGGGCCAAACCTAGATCACATGACTGCCCCTAGCCCAGTCCCTGGCATTACCATGATGACTTAGAATTAAGTCTTCTGCTTTGCCCAGTGACAGTATCGTAGCCATTGAGGTTTATCCGAGGTGCAATTATTGCTAATTGAAAACTTTTCCCAATACCCCATCATGACGACTTGAAATATAGTCAGCATTAGCAAAACAAAACAAGACAAAAAAGATTAACAACAACAACAAAAAGAATTAAGTCTTCAGCTAAGCTCTGGATATGGACACCTTCCCTGAAAGGTGAATACCTGCACACATGTAAGATTCAATGAACAAAGAAGAAACGAGAAAGAGATTTTGGGTAGGTATAATATTCTGTTTGAATGTCTTTTGGGTCTTTTCCTTATAGACATATAAATATCTGTGTGTATACATATATATAATATATGTATATATGTACATATATATATATAATATATATTTAGACAGGGTCTCACTATTTTGCCCAGCTTGGCCTTGAACTCCTTGGCTCAAGGATCCTCCCCCCTCCGCCTCCAAAGCAGCTGGGACTGCAGGGGCCTGACACCACACCCAGCTTTACATATAAATGTATTTTAAACAAAGAAACAAACAAATGAAATCATACTGTATATACTGTTTTGTAACTTGATTTATAACTTGACAATATGTTGGATATATCTTTCCATGATCCTACATGTTCATTTATAACATGATTTTAATGGCTGAATGTCCCTTGTGAGTGTTTTAAGTTCTGTAACGTACAGAAATCTTTCTCAACTCCTCTTGGCACACTGCAAATGAGGTTCATAGATGCATTCATGTGCTGGGTCAGGGAGAAAGAGATGGGTGATGTCAAAGCTTAATTTCTTGGATCCTCTATCTCTGACTCAAGGCAAACAATGAGACGTCTTTAAAACAAAAATTAGATTCCTTTTTCCCTGAGGTACTTCCTTGATCTTCTACTTTGGCTTCCAAACCTTTCTACCCCCTAGGGAGCTTTCTTCAGTAAATGTCACATCTTTTTCCTTCTCACTGGTTGTTTTTACTCTCCCTTTCATGTCTTTCTAGAGCCTATGTAGAATTCTTTGGATGAAATTTGGGACTTTTCATAATTATATTAATCAGCATTCTTCCAGCTGCAAGTGACAAAAAGGCCAACCCAAGCCATCTTACTCATAAAAAAGAATATTTTTGCTCATGGAATTCAAGAGTATAGGTGAAGACTTCAGGCATAGCTGGATCCCAAGACTCAAACGTTATCATAAAGAATTGATCCTCCCTCGCTTTCTCTTTCTCTCGCCTTCTTTTTTCCCTCTAAACTTGACTTTCCTTTAGCTTACCTGATGAAATAGAGCTTCTTTTCCCCCAAGAGTCTAACAAACGTGCTGGAGAGGATTTCCACGGGCTCACCTTGGGGTATGTGTCCCTCATTGTCATTGTGGTGTTCTAATTGGCTAGAGTAGACTCCAGTGTGTGCCCACATCTGGATGTATAAAGATGCAGTCCGGCCTACCAGAACTATATAGACCAAGAGTAGGGTAAGTGTATCACTAAAACATAATAGGCCGGGCACGGTGGCTCACGCCTGTAATCCTAGCACTCTGGGAGGCCGAGGCGGGCAGATTGTTCGAGGTCAGGAGTTCAAAACCAGCCTGAGCAAGAGTGAGACCCCATCTGTACTATAAATAGAAAGAAATTACTTGGCCAACTAATATATAGAAAAAATTAGCCGGGCATGGTGGCGCATGCCTGTAGTCCCAGCTACTCGGGAGGCTGAGGCAGCAGGATTGCTTGAGCCCAGGAGTTTGAGGTTGACGTGAGCTAGGCTGACATCACGGCACTCACTCTAGCCTGGACAACAAAGCGAGACTCTTTCTCAAAAAAAAAAAAAAATATTAGGAGCGTGCTGTTTCCAAAAAAGGTGGGAAGGTGATTGGGTGGGTAAATGTGGACACCCTTTCCAGGATATTCAGCATGGGATTCAGTCTGTCCCCACAGCATGGCCATGGAGTTGTTTATAGCTCAGTGTCCATTCTGATTAATTTTTGCCTATGCCTTCCCAGTTGTTAAATATTTTGCAGCTCACCCTTGCCCATTTCCACCAAACAAATAGTCTAGCCCTGATTTATCAACTTTCCCAGCCAGATCTTCTGTTCTTGCCCCCATGTGCACATCCTATGGCTCACCCCAGTGGTCACATTTCTCCAGACTCCGTTTGTGACGGAGCAGTCTGTCTGTCTACTTTTGATCAGATCCATCTTCAAAGACCAGCTCAACCACTGTTTCCTCCATGAAGCCTTCCTAATTGCCCCACCTGGAACTGACCTCAGACCTGCCTTACCCCCACCTACCGTGTTTCCCCGAAAATAAGACCTACCCATAAAATAAGCCCTAGCAGAATTTCTAAGCATTTGTGCAATATAAGCCCTACCCCAAAATAAGACCTAGTGATGGGCGTGGCTACGCAGCATATCTGCACAACCCATGCATTTAGTCGAGGAGCAGTAAAGAAGACAGAAGATGAACAGCCCTTCTCATCTGAGCCATTGTGACAGCTACTATCCCAGAGGTGACTGGAAAGGTGTGGGCAGCCCCACCAACAAGGTCGGCTCCCCCTGTCAGGTCCCAGCCATCCTGTGCGTGCTGCAGGCTGAGGCTTTGAGGGGAAACTAACACATCCCCTGAAAATAAGCCCTAGGGAAAAGGGCTTATTGAGGAAAAATAAATATAAGACCCTGTTTTATTTTCGGGGAAACACGGTACGTGCTCTTTAGTAACATCTCTCTCATTGTCTCTCTGCTTGGAATCAGACCTCTACCTATCTTTATCTCCCCTGAGAGACTCTGAGCATGTTGATGTAGGGACTTCATCTTATTCACCGTTCTATTTTCCCAAAAGTCTATTATAAAGATTCTCTGCCACTTAATTAGTCCTGTGACATCGGGCAAAGTCCTTCATTTCTTTGAGCCCTGGTTTATTCTTTTGTAAAATAGGGATGATAAGAGCCCTTTCCCCATAGTTCTTGGTGAGGACTGAGACAAACATACACACATGATTTATTGCACGTACACCATGTGTTGCACCGAGGTGATGTGTTTTGCAAAGGACAAACGCCTAGTGCTGGCAGAGCTGGGATTCAAATGTCCTCTAAATAGAGACTGGGTTCCACCCACTATTCCAAACAGCTTCCCACCTGAGACAGGAACAGTGGCTGGCACA